TATCAACGCAGCAGCAACACCGACCTGAACGACGCCGGCGAAGCTGATCCGACCTAGCCAGTCCACGACAACGCACCCTGAACGCACCGGTCTAGCGTAATCGCTCGATACCGCCGAGACTCTACAGTACCCGGCACACCTGGCCAACAAGCGCCACTTCACCGACCGACGACGCCAAGCCTACCGTGTGCATCCAGCGATCGACGGCAACGGATAGCCGCCACACCTGGACCTGACTAACCCATCGACGGCAACGTATAATATAATTTACCCCGGCGACTTACTACTGTCAGTCCACCCGTTCAATCGAGTCCAGTCACGCCGTTGGACGAACACCAAGACACGCCGGGAACCGACTTCACGACGTAGCTTGGCCAATCGACTATTCATCAAGCCGACAAGTAATACCACGTTCCCCCCTACGGTGAGCTTATTCGAGTTTCACCGCGAGGAAGAACCGAACCCACACGACTTGCTCGAGTCCGTGCACGGACGGTTCCTACTCTCCCCTATTATTGTACTATTTCTACAATACGTATAGGCAAGTCCCAACTATTGTTTTGCTCGCGCCTCTTCAGGCCCGAACCCGCCCGCCGCGGCCGCTTCTTCAAGCCTGCCGCGCGGCCCGGGATAACTTGCCCCGATCATTATAAACATTATTTAGTGATTATACAATAAACGATACTATAACGATACATAACGCATTGTTATTCACGATCACGGACGTCCCGGAAAGACGCTCCGTATCATCTGAAGTCTAAAATATTATACCGCATAATATACTGACATAAAACCTGCATTTTGATGGTATTCAAAATAATAATACCTTCCCATATTATGTTTAGGACGTTCATTTTTCACCGTAAAAATATAATAGTCTGCACTGTTGTTTATTTTGAAATTAAACATAAAGAGCAAGTTTTTCATTTATTATTTGTTCGGTGTGTACATATTACATGTTTTAAAATGTTTGTGACACGTGTTTGATGCAATTGGATAGAGTATAATTATTATATGCTTTGATGATAAACTCAAATATTCATGAGCAATGATTTTACTTTAAACGTTTTTCACTAAAATTCAAGTGAAATGTCTATAAATATGCGTTTTCAGTTGTAATTGGATATAATTGTCATGAATATTTTATCCAATTACAACTTGTACGAGACATTTGAACACTTTTACCTTAAATATGACACATCCATTACATATTTTCAATGCATATTTAGTTACTTGATGCCTATATTTTAATAATATTGTATCTCGAATCTCGATTAATTTTAAAAATAACACACTATGATGATACTCCTGAAATCGGGTAAATGATGATTATGGTGTGAAGGAAATGATAATAATATGATTCTATTTGCAAACTCATTAGTAGTCATTACTATGGAGAATGTATTAAAAGTGTGAAACGCAAGGGCTAAGTTGAAATAATAATTACGGTATTATAAAATATACATAATATAGGTTTATATCATTGTATTATAATATGTTATCATATATTATAATTTCGTGCATAACATTTAACTATTATATAGGACAATATTATGTCATGGAAATAATATGCGATGTTATCGGACGACATAATTATATTTTTCTTTAAGTTTTTGTTTAAATATTTCGAAAATAATAATATGCTTGCGTGAAAAAATCATATGCATCAGTGCAACAAAAAACAATGGCATGGCAGGGCGAAGAACACTTGTTGAACATCCCTCGCCCGCACCCGCGCCCGACTGGCGCCCGCCCAATTAATATTTTGTTAGACAGTGACACAACATTTCATTTTGACTCGACGACGTATTTTGTATACAAATATATATAAGTACGATCACATAATTTATGTACGACGTGGTCATAATATTGCAAGCGTCAGAAATTATTTAAGAAACTTCTGAAAAAGCTGAGCTTGATACCATATTTTATTATAATTTATTATTATCTAATGGACTTCAGACTTATAACGAGTAACGACATTCAATCTATGAGTATAATATAATTGAGTAGGTATAATATATGAGCTGATGGATTCTTAAATATATAAATTAACTTACCGTTTATATTATGTTAAATTTTGTTAATAATTCTGAAGGATGTTTTTTCTTGGCCTTATTTATTTTAAATTACTATTTTTTATTATTGTTATTAGTAGTTAGGAAAAGGGTATTTTATAAGGTTAATGGAAAGTTTTAAAATTGTATAAATTTAGTTCGATGTCAAATGGGCCAAGCAGTCGCACTATATACTTAACAGCTAACTCGCTGTCAAAATATTAAAAATGCGTTTTCCTCAGCATTTTCCATCAGTTTATTATCGCACCAATAAAATAATAATATTACCTCAGTAAACCTTCACTATCCTTGCTGCGCAATTTTGATCGCCAAATTATCTCAACAAACAGATAAATGAAAATTGTCTGGCGTGGGTGATTTGTTTTCGTTAAACTTTGAGTATCTGAATAATGCTTAAAAAACCTCAGACGTCTTCGTGGAGAAGTTGTTTTTTCTTTGATAAAAATATTGTATCCAGCCGTCTGTATCTATATCATAATATCAATGTCTATGAAATCATTTGTTTAAATCACAAAATGCGTCTTAAACATCCGATTGTATGAGGAAATATTGATCAATTTTATAATAGTATAATTATTCACAAGAGTAAATGACACGTTTTTACAATCAGTTGCAGTAATAAATTTGTGATGCAGAGTTTCATATTGAAATGTATAAAATCCTTAAAAAGTAAACTATATTAATATTATACTCATCGGCATCTTGCGCGTCCTTCCTTTGTTCACCTTTACAGTAGACTTAGGCCTTATTCACTAGATCTCCAGACCGTTAAATGAAATGAATCCCACCAGAAGTTCTAAAATGTGTTAATGTATAAGTGTACGACTCTGCAGCTTTCCAATTAGTGCAAGCCTCACGTCCCACGTTTACAATGAGTTATTCAATTAAATTAATATTAATGAAATAATGATAATAATAGTGACGACTAACAGTAAAAGAAATTGTAACTGCATACAAAGGTACAGGTTTTATATGACGCGATCGAGTGTTGTACCAGATGCATAAAGGTGGGGAAAAAACACGACATAATGTGCATACAAAGACGTAAAATTAACGCATACAAACTATTGCAATATTATACACATGAATGGAGTAAACAATATATTATTATTATTATAATTATATCACCCGGAAAGGGAACTATTGCAGTTAAAAATTCAGACTGAAAAAACGAGGGATGAAAAAATGTCAACGAAAAAAAAAACAGTACCTACATAAAGCTTTTTAAATATGTTTATTAAAAATATATACCGGGAAAACATCACGTGTATGCACTTTAAATCATTGAAAAAAACAATTTATATTTGCGTATCCATTTTTTTTTTGTTTCCATTTAAATGCTCAGAGGACGAAGAATGGGAAGTTACGCTCACGCAGTCTTACCCCCTCCCCCACCAATAAAAACACCCACGTTGGCGGGAACTAAACAGAAAAAAAAATGCTCTAAGAAATAACGACACATTTTTTTATCCACCACTTTTTATTAGATTTTTTTGTATTTAACGAAACATATTATCATATATTATTATATTTGTATTTGTTTTGTTTTAATACACCCGGATAAACATTGATATCAATATAGTAGACGAGATGTTCAAGGCTAAAATATTATAACCCAGATAGATGTGTGTTTGTACATTAAATCGTTGAGAAACATATTATTTAGAATATAATGTTATCATACTTTTTGTGTACTGAAATTCGAGGAAGATGTATTTATTCACTTTACTGAAAAGTAAACAGCAGAAGAAAACAAAATCGTCTAAACGTAATACAAATAATGTCATAAAATACTGACTAGATCATGACACGCAAAATCAAATTTAAAATACCTTAGATAGTTAACATATATTTTAAGATTTACATTATATTAGTAAATAGCATGTATCTAATATTATTATGATTACGATTTATACTGATCTGTGCCGAATTTTTTAAATTAAGATGGATTCTTCTTAGCTATTATCGACCGTTGACACTAGTATTTCTTATACTTAGGCAGATAGCTTATTATAATTAGGAACATATTTTTATTTTCAACCAAAATTACACGTTCTGATATTTGAAGACCACAGAGTATAATTATTATTACATGTAAAACACGTCCTATCTAATTTTGGTTATATTCAAAATATTTTTCAAGGCTGAATATTTGCACGGTGAATGTTTAAATTTAAATTTTAAATTAAGAATAAAATATATTTGAATAATATTATTTTTACAGCGCGGTCATTACTATAATATTTTTTTTTGTGAACAAAATATGATTGTATCTTGTTTTAACTCTATTAGCATTTTAATAACGATTTTTTTTTTTTGTTGTTGTTTGTGGGAGTGGTTAAGGATTCAACTACTCAGGTAATTAGCTTGTGGTACTGTGCGGGAGGGAACTTTGGTTTTCGTTTAAGCACGTGTGTGTTGTTTTTTGGCAGATTTTTTTAGGGGACACCCGTAGGTATATGTCACGTCCGATTGGGGGATGACGGTACTTCTCTTCGGACACAGTGACTTGTCCCAAGGAAAATGCCACCCGCGGCCGGGTTTGAACAGGCGTCGGTGTGCGTCGCAACCGACGCCTTAATCCGCTCGGCCACTCCGTCCTCCGATTGAATTTATACAAAACATATACACTATCGGGTATTATAATATAATAATTGGATTCATTCCTAACAAGTGTTGATAATATTATATATCTCATTGATCCATATTCTTAATACTCTCAAATCGGTATTTTCAAACTTCTCTTAACCTAACATTCCAAAAATAAATTTCAGCAACGAAAATCTTACCGCTCGTCCAAAAAAAAGTAACCTAAAATAATTACAAGTCACTTGATTTAACTAATTCTACTAATGCCGTTATTTCAACATTGGTTTTTTGCATATTCCAAAAGTGATAATCATAATGTGTCTTTTTTTACAGGATGGCCTTCGGAGAAGAATGGACAAGTTGAAGAGTTCGATCGAAGAAGCCAATTTGGCCGTCGACAAGGAGAGAGAGAAGAACGTCAGTCTTTTGCACACGATTTTCCCGCCAAACATCGCCAAACGGCTCTGGCTCGGTAAATATTGCAGTTTGTTGTTTTCATATTGCTATTTGTTTATAGTTAGTGAACTTACCGTACTCTTGGATCCCGAAACTCTTTCAAAAGAAGGGAAAAAGCATAATATTAAGCACAAACCTTTGCAAACCCACTCTGCGGTACCTACTATACTACTTCTAAGTTGTGTTTCATACTATGATATAAACCAATTTATATATATATATAATATACCTGTAACAGGTTACTGCCAAACAGTTACGGGTCCGGTATATTTTTTAGGGATCGATGTGCCATTTAATAAATTACTAGAATGTTATAATAATTATAAACTTCACAGTATAAGATCGATTTCATATCGTAGATCATTTTATTATGTATTGGAAATGTCTTTACACGAAGAATTAAGTTTCAATCAACTGATTAAAAAAATCAGTACATTGAAATGGACACTCGTTATTTATAATATGTCTTTATCTGGGTTACCGCGTAAGTCAATATAGTCAAATAAAAAATAAAATTCTAGGCTACAGTTCAAACTGGTGTGTATTAACACGAAATAAGAATAACAATTGACAAATGGACTACGCAATTATTAATTGTATTACCGATTCAGATTAGAAAACTAATATCCGTACACAAAATGTCACTTTCGTAATATTCCTTGAGTCAAGAGACGGCTCAATATTACATTTTCCGAATGAAAGTATTATACAAATCTTCACAACAAATGCTAATTTAACACAATTGGTACCTACAGTGTTAACAATATCACTTTTATAGTTGTTTGATATAAAGTTTATAACAAATTGTGTATAATTTATTATAATATAATATCATAATTCAGCGTGGTTCTGCAGCTGTTGTGAATTTTTTCTTACAGTATTTAGCTACTTCGAATTATAGCCATAAATATTATAATAATTTACTCAACCGCCAATAAAACTTCTTTTTTTATGCAGAAGGAGGGGGGGGGTGTTATTTGAAGTAATATCTAACACTATACCCCATCCTCTATCTGTCAATTGACGGCACAGTAGAGTTACAACAAAAATATACTCTAATACCTAGGTACGTGAATTTAACCATCCGAACGTTCTTTTCAATATCCTCCTCAAAAGTATAATTAATAATAAGTTATCATTATTGTAATAATTCTAATATTTCATAACAATCATCTATACCCCTCGAGTATCGCGTGGACTGTGAACAAGGCAGCTTATAGTCTGCATTGACAGTGAATAGTATTGATACTATTTGAAGTGGTTAATTTTCACGGATGTCCCAATAATTTTAACCGTTACAATTTCAAATAAATATTATTGTGCTATCAATTAATAATAATATAATATGACTATGAATGACTCCTATAATCTTCTATACCAAATTTGGTCGTATTAAATTATCAAATCTCAAAAAGTGTGATTGTCTTCTGCAGGCCAAACTGATTGGCAAAAAACGAGAACAAGGAGAAACGAATACAGTATTGTCTTAAAGTCGAAAGTATAATTAAAATAAATACAGAGAAACTCGTCCAAACTTGACACACAGACGTGGTATAGAATTGAATATATTATTTTTATTCACGGAGAAACAAATAATGTAACATATTAAAATAGGTCATGGGTGGTACGTTCGTATATATACATATTATGCAATTTGTGAATCGTAATACAACACTTGTGCAGTATATTTTTTTAATATGTTTAACGGTATGGTGTTTTATCTTTTTTAACTTGGCTGAACGTAAAACTAAATAATATAATCTCGACGAAAGAAATGTTATTCTAAATAATTTTAAAGGTGCAATTTTAAATCCAATAAAAACTCACTGAATTCAAACGCTTCCGTTTTCGACGGCAACTATGCGAGACAGGGAATTAGATTTATATAAATTAAATTATGTACATTTAAATTGTATTATCCTCAGTGTTTCTAAGATGTATTCTAGAAATATTCATCAAAACGGATGACTTTCGATATAAATTAATATATTATCACCAGACAAACCGAAGTAAGTACTTACTGAAATATTCAAGACATCATTTGTTATACATGAAAGCGACTAGATATGTAAATTGCATACATCACACGTATTAAATAAAATCGTCCGTCATCATACAATTGCAATACACATGCAAATTATACGTCGAATTGTATTGGCATTCGAAACACGACTTGACTTATAATAATATGACCTGCAAGTATTAAAACGGAGCTAGTCAATATTATTTTCACAATATAAGCTAAACTTAATTACGATTATAGGTGCCACGAGACACAATTTATACACTCGGAGAGTTGCCATATTAAAAAATGCAATTATTAATAAATATTCACATTCACGGCTCAGCTATAATTCCGACCAAATACACCGTGTAATGACGTCATAATATTAAAAACTATAACTATAACTCGAAATATAACAATTGATGTTTTGTACATACAATTTTACACCATTCAAAACTAGATATTATATTAAATAGCAACTAAAAATATGAAATTATTTTCTCATTTTTGTTTACTCTAGTCTTTAACGCTGCCCACAATCAAACAGTATTACCGTCTCATAGGATATCGCAATCACTGGATAATAATTATTATTTTGTTCGTATATGTCTATAGGGTTATTGTTATTAAAATGGAAAACGAACTGAACCCATCTGTATTCAATATTATAAAATAGGCGGTGTACGAAATGCGTCGCACTACTCGCACTAGAATAGTATAGGGCGGGGTCACACTACTTTCACACTACTTCAGTTTAATCGTATTATTCGTATTATTATATAATTATGTAACAAAATACTAAATTCCGTATAACATCCCGTATACAGTGTCTACTTTATTATGCTAAGTGCAGTGTTTCAATTGTTTTTCTTTTTTTAGTTTGTTACGGAATATATTCAATCATTGTGTTTTTCTATGTACATCATAAGACGCATAGTTGTTTATGTTTTATTTGATGTATTATTTCACTAGTTGAGATATGATGACACGGCGACCTGCATAGGCAATTTAGGTACACTCCGGTCTTGGGAGCATTTTCCTAGCATCTCTTATTATAATAATAAATTATGATTGGATTGTTCAAATAAAATATCAAACTATAAAAAGTAAAATATCCGTATTATAAAAGTATTATGCAATTGACATACGAATTGCATAATATTATTATATTATGCCTCTATTGTCCATAAGTTATAACGATCGAATACAACTGCACTACGTTCACTGATACTGATCAGCCAATTAATTATTGAAATCATAAAATTATAACATTGCGTAAACAATTAATTTTTTATTTTGAATATAATAATGATATTATATCACACAGCTTTAATATTGTTATACAATAAAATAACTTAATTGGATGACTTCGATTTGCAAAACACCACCTACCTAGTTAAGAAAAATTTAACAACCAATAAAATATTATAATATCGATATAGTTAATAAATTCTTTAACGTTGTTTTAATTCAATGTCATTTTTAAATTTCGAAAAGACTCTTCGCACACTCTATAACATTCACATTCAGAAACTCTAAACCTTTTTGAAATTGATATACGTAATATGCTAATAGTTCATGAATTTTGAAATAATTTTACTTCTACGAACGCTATGTCGTTTGTACATACATAAATTTCATATTATACTGTTATTGACTGGATAGAGTGCGGCCATAAATTATATAAATATTCAACAGACATTATGATAAACATAAGTTCTAGCCTGAAAAATACCATTGTCATTTAATTTTGATTAGTTTACCGTTCATTCGAATTTTTTGAGAACACTTATATTTATTTAATTTAGTTAATCCGTACAATCTCTGCAGTGTCTAACGATATTTTATGTGAGTACTAATTTGCAAACACTTTATCTAGTTTTTAATATTTTTCGTGGAAAATTTAGTTTTCGCATCAAATAATAATATCTAAATAATATTACAAGGTATTTATTGTATGCTCCGAAATTCACTGACTTTATAATAATAATTATTAGTTTTAGTATTATTGTTTATTACGCGTGACAACAGAACCGCGGTTTTGATAATAGTGATATTATTTAAGTGTCATCCGCTTTAAACATTGTGTGCTCGGTCTTCCGATCGTTTACTTCCGGCTATTATAATATACAGAAGATGCCTATCGGAAGTCATTTAGTCGATTAATTCATTAACTCGGACCCGGGACTTCAATCCAGACGAACAAAATAGGTCAATATATTGTTATATTATTATTATCTCAAGCAATGTATTATTTTATCAGATACAATATAAATTCGAAACTATAAATAAATTCGCTAGGCTAAATTGGTGTTAAAAATAATGCAGTGGAATGCACTTGGACCATATCATTTACATAATCCCGGTGCAGGATAATTTGGGATACTTTAAACCGCGGTCTATAGTTTTTCAAATTTCTATTATAGTAGAGTATCATATTATTGTGGCTCGACGCGACGCAGCGGCTGAAAGCAACGACCACTGCTACAAGTTCCCGGATGGGTAACCACTCGGGTCCATAGTGATAAAAACCTTGTCACACATACACAGACTGTTACCAATGAACCGTGAAAAAAAAGAGTATCATATTATTATGCATTACGACGACCGTTACGTTAGTCGATTGTTGTCACGCCATTACGTCATTCTCTTTTTCCGACCAGTCCGTAAAAACTAGCAGTTTATTTTTATTTAATAACAAAATATTATTTGATTTGTAAAACTCTTCAAAAAACCATAGAGTCCTACTAGATATTTTTTCTCTACAATAAAAACCTATGAATCATAAATACGTTTTCGTAAGAAAACGATTAGAACCAAATCCTTACGAAAGATCCATCGGAAACAAAAAACTCGTATCCAGCCCCAAAACATAATATTTATGTGTTAATAAATCATGTGATTATAATATCTTGATTTAATTTTAACATGATAGTACTGCAACAACTGTAATAGGTACGTAATAGAAATAAAATAATATATTTCGTGCAGCACTCTCGACGCGTTATATT